AGCACAACTTTGATCAAAAACTTTCAACCAAACATCCAATCCTTTAAATCAAGCAACAAACCTACCAACTAATCCTCTCACTTTGCAATACAAAACCTTAGATTCAAGCACAAAAAGTCGGACAAAAGGAGCATGTAAACCTTGACAGTTCCTACCACTTTCGAACACTTTGAGATTTCAGCAACTACATGCACGGCAGAACTTAACACACATGCAACAAACCAGAACCAAACCCAAGTTCTCATTAAGCTCCTCCCTTTTGCCTCATTGCATACAAGAAAACGAAAGCCAGCATAGGGAAAGGTTGCAAATTTTTAGCTCATTCAATTAACATCATCCGAACATGATTGTCTATCCTAGAAGATCCAATCTAAGCAACTAAACAAAAATGCAGCAATGCATCAATAATATTTGCCGCAAAATATCAAACCAAACCTTCAAGGAAACCTCCTAAACACAGACCATGAAAACAAATAAGATACCAGTGGCAACAAGTTCCAAAATCTGAGGATGATTCAGTGGCTCGGCAAACACATACAATGGCATTCACCGTCCAACCAAGAAAATAGCCCCAAAGTTTGGACCTTTATCAACTTTCCACACAGTGTAAAATAATTCTTAAACATACGAAACCATCTAGCCGCCTCATATCCTATTCTTATAAAATCAGCTTTGAAGTAGATCAAACAAACAGGAAATCAAAACAGCGCATAAATACAAACCAATGGCAGCAAAGGGAACGAAAGAGAAACACAAATGAATAAACCAACAAACGGCAAGGGGAGGTACTATAAGATTAGTTCAGAAGAGTACCTGATGAAGCTTTTTGGATCAAAATCCGGATGGGAAACGCTGTGAAAGAGTGGCTGAAGTTGTCCCGTTGCGGCTCCGAAATCGCACCAGCGAAGTCAAGCTGTGGATTTGGGGACCAGATTCGAGGGGTTTATTGAAGCCTTTTGTGGAAACTTCCTGAAGACAACTTGCTCTACAGATTCCCTAATTTATGCAGAAATCAAAATCTAGTCGAATCAACTAATCAGCAAGGAGATGATCAAGCCGCAAGGTGTGCCGAAAACCAGCCCGTTCTGGTGAAATTTCTGCAGAAAACTTTGCTGGTTCTGGTTTCCTCCTAGTTTCTTTCCTCAGCACGTAGGTTCTTGCCTTTTCTTTTCCTATCTAGCCCAGATCCCTTTTCCCTTTCCGTTTCTTGTTTCTTTTCTGGCAGCCCGAAGCTCGCTTTCCCCGTCGCTCTCTTTTCACTCTATCTCTCTCTCGGCCCCTTCCTTTTGTTCTCGCTGCCACCTTTTCTGTACTATCCCCTTTTCTAGCGTCACTCCCCTCTTGTTTTTTCTTTTTCCGCCACCCACCTTTCTAGCTCTCTCCCTGGTCTTTTCTCTCCTCTGGTTTCTTTCTTACTCTCCGCCGTCGCTTATCTGATTTCTGTTTTTCCCTTATGCAAGCCGTCATCCCCCGTCCTTATATCTGTCTCTTCCCCAAAAACCCCTGCTCTCAGCCGTCCCCTTTTCCCTCACGTAACTCCAGCCGTCAAAACCTCCTCCCTCCTCTCTAGACCCTTAGCTCCCTTTTTATATCAGACTCTAGCCCTAAAAATCTCATCTCGATGGTTCATAAACAGCTTCAGGTCACCGTTTCTCTCTCAGCCATCGGATTGGCCTCAACTTCTAAATTGCTTTTTGTCTTGTCGATGAAAGCCAGGTGTAACAGTACTAACATGATTGAAGGGAGCTAAAAAAAACAAGGAAAATAGCTGAAAAAAAATGGAGCTGCAAACGTGCAGCTTTGTTTTCTGCTAATATGATATTAAGGAGAAGTAGCGAGCTGCCTAGCACGCGCGCATGAGTCTTTTTTTTTTTTTTTTGATAATTCAGTATGAAGACAAAAATAAAATAAAACAAAAAATAAACTAAAATAAAATAAACTAGAACAAAAATAAAATAAAAGCTCTAGAATTGAAGCCAATAAATCTATTAAATTAATTAAACAAATAAAGTTAAAAACCCAAAAAATTTGGTATCTACATCAATCAATCCCAAAGTCACACACAATATCATCTCATTTCAATAGCCATTCCATAGGCTCAAAGTCATACAAGTACAAAATCAAGCTAACGACATGTGCGGAAATGAAGTTTAGCAAAAGGACAGATTTGACGTGGTTTTACGCAATGGACACAGCCGAGGCTACACTTGTCGGATTGAGGTGAAATTTATACCATTTTGAAGCTATGACAAAGAGCTATAACTTTACTGAAGACTACTTAGTCCAGTTCTCACCCTAACTAGGTCAAATTTACCAAAACAACTCCAGATTTTCTAGTTCGAAGCTCACTGTGAAATTCAACTAGCAGTCCTGATTCATTCACTCATATATCAGCACACACAGCTCCAATTCAGGTAATTCCAAAGCCATTTGAAAGCTAAGATACAAGGATAGAAATCTTAAGAACACATCAACAACCAATTCGGTAATGTTCCTGGTCAAACTAACCAATTACATAAGCTGATTATCAGTTTCGGACAGAAACAGGGCAGCAGGGGTATTTTGATCTTTCCACAGGCTACGTTGCTCCGATTGAGTTGAAATTTTGTAGGCAACTGTAAAACATTATTCTATACAACTTTCATGTTTTGTGCAAAGCCTAATTCGGCCTCTAACATAGGCGAACAGAAACGGGCAGAACTGAAAACAAGATTTCCAAAAATCTGGAATTTTCTCAAACCACCATAGAAATCACCAAATATTCCATACAAACCCACAAAAGTGATATATAAACCATCATTAACCCTTATTAGCATCTTACAACATCAAAATCAACATTTCTATTCAATTGCTACAAGCTTTTACAAGAGTTCAAGGCTGCTTTACCTTCCAAAGGTTAGTTCACAAGGTTGCACTTCAAGAACCAAGTTCCTTAGCTTCCTTTTTGCTCTAACTCCCAAGCTGGTTGGATGAGTTGCACACAACCAGAATTTTTTCTCTTGTTCTTTTTCTTATGTCTCTCGGTTTTCCTTTCTTCATTTCTCCCACAAGCTGGCCGAAACTTTGCTTGTTTCATTTGGCTTTTGTCTTGCTAAGTAGATTAATACTAAGTGCCTTGGTCAAAGTCCACTACCTTTTTGATTGGCCAATCACAATTAAGCTTAGGAATCTCATAGAACCTTTAGGAAACCTAGCAACTTGTAATTAACCAAAAGTCACACTATGGCCCCAATAACTTTTAATCTTTGCAATTAACTCTATCACCTTGTATAATAATAACACTTAGCACAAAAATCACTTAATCACCAAACTTATATCGCACTAGCGGGTTCCACGTCGATAATACACTTCAAACTTAACGTGGACTAACTTGTATCAAGGAAATGATTTGTAAACTATATTCCCTTATAAAAATGTATAAGAAATTAATATATTGAAGAAAGATACAAAATTATAGACAAGGAAACAATAATGTCTAGAAAATACATAAAAATTTTCGGGTTCTCAGCACCATTCTTTCGGGGCGTCACAAATTTGTGAGGTAATTAATGGCATGATTGTGACTTTTTAGCATTAAAAGATGAATTTTCAGCTTTGGGTGAGAAAATTCCAGTTTTGGCAGTGGTTGAATATTTGCTAGAAATGAGCTATATTTGGATTTTTTAGCCTAAATAAAGAGCTATCTTGATATGTTTATTCGTGATGTTTGAATTGGGTTGATTTGAGGAAAAACATGAAGTCTTAAATGGCTGGAAAATTGGACAAATACAAAGGGTATGTTGCCCAAATTTTTATTCGAGGGATAAGTGAGTGAATTGGAACTTGAGCGGTGATTCAGGGATGAATTGGACTTCGGTTGTCTAGGGTATTCAAGTTTCCTTTAGCTGAATTTTTTTCAAAACTCGTATACTTTTAAGGTGAAAGTACTGACCATTTTAAATACGATTTCCTAGTGTTTTTAACACCAAGTTGCGAACTTATAAGTGTTAAACACTTCTTTATCAAAACCAAAAGAGCAAGCATGATTTTTGTAGAGTTTGATAAGTGAAATGTGTAGACACCAAATTTTTAAGGTATTTTTGTTTACTGGTATTTTTATTTTTTGATTCATTTCATTTACTTTTAGTCTTTTATTTTTAAGTTATTTTTATCATTTAATTAAACTTTAATCATTTAATCATTTAATTTTATTTTGTTTGTTTCGATTCTAGGGTTTTGAAAAAGAAAAAAAAAGAAAAAAGAAAGAAAAAGAAAAAGTCAATCAAAGGGACAGGAATAAGACACATAAGCCTACTTTGGGGTTTGAGATCTTGGCCTTTCAAGTTAGGTTTAGTCTTTGGAGGTGCCTTTAAAATAAAATGAGCCGCAAGCCAAAAGAGGAGGGGGGCCGATGAAAGAGAGGCTGAGAGCTTGTATTAAGAAAAAGGAAGAAAAGAAGAGAACAAGAAGGGGGGAAGCTGGAAAAATGGAGAGGTTTTTCGGCTGGGAGAAACAGGGGAGAGGAGCTATCAGGCATTGAGACAAAACAGAAAAAACAGAGGAAGAAGAAAAGAGAGTCTTCGGGGGGGGCAAAGGAAAAAGCAAAAAGAAACCACGGCAAAACAAAGGAAAGAGGGAGCTGAACGAAAGGTTGTTGGATGAGATTGCTGAAGAACAGAGAAACAGAGTTGCGGCGGAGCTTGAGAAAATCAGAGGAGTGAGCAAGAGGTTTGGAAAAAGGGAAAATAGCGGCCAGGGGAAAATTGAAGAAAGGGGGGAAATCTGGAAGATTGAGAGAGTTCATCGGAGAATTCCCCGAGAGTTTTGAGGGAGCCACGGTGCAAGGCAGCGAAGAAACAACGCAAGGAAAGTCTGTCCAAGCCACCACCAGTCCACGTCCGCCGTTGTTGCTGTCTGCCATCGGCACCATCGCGCGCAAGCTGCTGTCGCGCGCCTCCAGCTCCATCATAGCACGACCACCAGGCGCATGGGCATCCGACTCCGAAGAAAACGAAGCTGACCTTCTCTAGCAGCACAATCAATACTCCCTCACCGGCGTTCATCTCTCCAATGGCGCCGCTCCTAACTCTGCTCCCACTGCCGACTTCCCATCCTTTGCCACCATAGCCGCCATTGCCACCACCAGAACCCACCATCATCGCCCATGGATCTTCATCGTCAGAGCACTGTAAGTTTTTTCTCTGAAAATTTTAGTTTTCTGTCCAACATTTGAAAATGAGTTTTCTGTGATTTCGTAATTTCCATTTTTTATGTTGATCGTTCATGGATTTTAGAATAAGTGTGCCTTGTGTGTTTGATTGGACTGAATTTCCTTGGTTTTTGACAAATTTCTGGGTTAGTCATGCTTCAATTTGAGCAGAAATCTGGTAAGATTTTGATGCCTACAACCTGTTCAATGAAATGCCCAACTGAGTGTTCTAATTAAAAGATAACTGGTCTCCATTTTTGCGTGTGAAGAAACTGAATAAGTTAGCAAGTTCAATTTTTTGCATTTGAGAAAATTCTGATGAATCGATGTTTCGCATCTTCTGTTCTTCTTGTTTTCTTGCCTGGATACTCTCTGTTGGGATTACTAGTGATAGACAACTATGCTTGAATTATGATAAAGTTGAGGATTTGGAATTCACATGAGTTTGGGTGGACAGATCACTACGTACTCATTCCCATTACTTTGCATGATCACCATTTTCGGCTTGTAGCCGGAAAATTGCAGAATGTTGTTTTGATGTTTGCATGCTTTTTTGTCTGACTTTTGGGTTTAAATTTAGAGGTTGCATGTTGCAAAGTAAAGGTATAGGTAGTAGCTTTGTTTGTTCAAGTTCAAGCTAGATTTGATTGTGTTTGTGAGTTGGGTTTGTGAATTGCTGAGTTGCAGAAGCTTTTGTCTAAGTGAGGAAGAAACCTGTTCTTCGTAAGTTTGTTTGGGTTTTCCAAAAGAATTGCAATTTAATCCCTCAATTTCTGTCTAATTTCATTGTGGCTCAAAATCTGGAAAAACCAAACTAATTTTGCCCTCTTAAGCTTAATCCTCTGTTTGCATATTTTATGTGATTTTCTGGATAGATTAATGCTGGGGTTTGATGCATAATCAGAGGTTAGCAAGTTTTAGTTGGGTTTATTTTGGTGGACTTTATTAAATAAAATTAGACTTGGTTTGGACCTTTTGTTTGGGCTAGGGAAGGTTGTGGCCCACGCAAATAAATACAAAGGCCCAATGGTCTGTCTGACTAAGAATCTAGTAATTAAATTTGCAAATCAGTGAGGCCCCAGTCCGTTCGTAAGCTGACATGAGGGTTATTCGTTGATCGGTGGGGTGGAATTAGGGTTTTAAGGCTAAGGAGAAAACCCTAACCTCGATTAAGATTGAAAACCCTAGTTTAGTTTAGTAGAAAGCTTAAGTGGAGTTTGATTGTTCACCCGTCTTTTTGATATTTTCTTTATGAGAAAATTCCCCAGATTATTTTATTGAGTAAATATAGGTTTTAGATGATTTTTCTAGTATCGGTTAGTTTTTGAGAAATTAAGAATGTATATCGGACGTGGGACCCACTAGTGCGAAAAGTTCGGAAAAATTCGGCCAACTAGGTTAAGTTTTGGATACTGGGTTTAAATTATCGGGTGTGAAGAGATATTTGTAGGTGTGAAGAGATATTTATAGGTATTAAGTGGATAGGTGGAGGAGAGAGAAAAAAAAAAGGTAGGCAAGTCATAATGAGGGACAAGTGTCACCATTTGAGTGGTCCAACCTTAAGACCACTATTCATTGTCTTACCATTGACTAAATAAATCATAAAAATCAACAAAAATTCCTCATTTCTTCCCTCTCTTTGGCCGACCTTCTCCAAGCAAAAGAGAAAAGAAACTCTCCACAATCTTGTCTTCAATCTTGCCCAATCTCTCAATTAAACCGATTAATCTTCAAGTTACTCCATAAAATCCCTTAAGTGAGTGGTTGTGAGGTGTGTGGTGAAGTTGTTTGGAAGCTTGAGGTGCTAAGTGGTCTCTCTTCTTTGGTTCTAAGGTAAGTGACTATGGAACCCCTCTCTTCTATCTAAAGATACTTAATTAATGACTTGTGGTTGTTATAAGTGTGATTTGGTGGACTATTTCTTGATTTTAGTTAAGATTGATGAAGTTTTCTATTTATTTGGGATTTTTACTGGTTGCATAGGATTAATATTATGTGGCTATGTATGATGATTGGAAATGATTGAGAATGAAGCTAGTTGGTGTGAATGGTAGTTAATTGCAAGAAATTTCTGTTTTGGAAGAGAAATTGGAAATTAGGGTTCCTTTGTTCTTCAATTCTGTCCGGTTTTGTATCTCATACATAGAGGCCGAATTGGCCTTTCCTTAAAACATGAAAGTTGTAGGTATTGATGTGTTTGAGGTGCCTGTAAAATTTCAGGTCATTTAGATTAGTATAGAGTGAGATATGTCGATTTTACTGTGGCTGTTCTGGATTGATCAGGATGGCAGAACTGCGTTTGTATTTGGCTATTTTGACTGGAATTGCTTTGGATTTGGTTGTTGAGGCCTTCTAATGAAATGTAACCCTGTTTCTAAGCTTTCGGATGGCTTTGGAATTTCTGGATTTGGACTTGTGTAGGCTGAGTTATGATGTTTGTACTAGAATACGGTTTGCGAACCTGTTTTGCGATTCTGGTATAGTGTCTTGCATTGTTTACCTTGTTACTTTCAAAACTGGACAAAGTTTCCTTCTTCAACATTGTAGCCCTTAAGTCCTGAATATTTCTGTAAAATTTCAGATCAAACGGATTGGCATATCCTGAGTTATAGATGAAATACTCAAGCCTGTTTTGAACAGCAGATTCTGTGTGTTTTTAGTTTTGCTTCTGCCCGTGCCCTTTTTCGGTTTTGATACTGTACGATCTGAGTGTTGACTCCTTCATAAGAAATGTAGATCTTGGTTTTAGCTTCGAAATGGTATAAATTGTGTCAGAATCCGAGTTCCGTAGCTCCCGTTATGACCAAAACAAGATCGATCGTCAGAACTGCCTTTGAATCTGGACAGTTCTGACGGGTATTTTGACACCCGAATTTTGTTCTGTTCTGAATGGATTCAGGACTTGATCAAAACATCAAAGTTTTAGCCTTATGTCTCAGCTTTCTAATGCCTTTGTAATTTTCTGATTTGGACTTGTGAACTGGGAGTTATGGTCCCGTAAACAGACCCTGTCTGCCATTCAAAATGTAAACTTCTGGTACGGTTTTCCATGATTTTGACCTGTTTTGATTCGGATCTAGCTTAAGGTGTCTTCATGAGAATTGTAGGCCTTCCTCATAGCTTCGAAAAGGTGTCTTGTTCACCTTGATCCAATATTCCTAGCCTAACTTTTGATCAAAACGGTTTGAGATGGCTGATTTGGCCGTTTCCGTTTGCCGTTCCGCGTGAGCGCGTGCGCCCTTTTTGCCGTTTCCGCAATTACGTGTGCCAATTTTGTCGTTTTGCTTGTTTTGGATCTGTTAGTAGTCGTTTGTGATATTATGTGATAAAATCTTCTATTTCAGACCGTGGTGAGCTAGGCGGAGCCGGTGGGGCCCACTACTAGCGAACACGCGCGAAGCGATTTTGCTCTTGTACTGCTTTTGGTATTTTGTGTAAGTATTCAGGCCGCTTTTGTGTGTTAGTTGCTTATGTGTTTCGATATGTATGAAAAGGGTACCTAGGCGAGGGTGTACTTTATCGCACTCGACCTAAACCCTAGTTTGTGCTCATATTTGTACATGACATATGTATATGAATCATTTTGGAACTAAACCCCTCGAGCTTGTGGCTCGGGGTGACTTTTGAATAAATTTTGTGAAGTTTGTGAGTTTGAGGTTGAACTCATGACCTAGATGGACTATTCGGGCCGGTTAGGGTTTGGTCGAAGTCAGTCCAACTTAGTTTGAGGTCACCAAGTTTGTAGGTTCATGTTATGAACCAATTTTGTGAATCCGGTTCACCGAGAAGGTGACCAAGTTTGTGACCCGAGCTTGTGACTCAAGCTCAAGTTTGTGATTTCGTTCGCCCGGGCAAGTTTGTGAGGTGACTGGCCAGTGAGGGTGATAAGGTGTCGGTGGGTGTACAAGTGAAGTTCTACGGACCTTATTTTTGGTCGACGGAGTGTCGACAGGAGATCACGCATGGCACATGACTTGGCTTTGGAGCCATCTGTATCCTTATTATGTGATGTTACTTTTCTGCTTTTGCTTTACTCTTACTATGTAACTGTTGTAACGTGAAATTTACGCTTTCGCCCCTGTTTACTTACTAAGCATATAGCTTACCCCTTTCCTTTTGTTTTCCTTAGCAGGGGCCGATGCGGGGACTTTTGGCACGTACACTAGTCTAGTTAGGTTTGATTGTAATAGTTGGACATATAGTATGTTTGTTTCTTTGTTTTGGTGGTTTGTATAAGTACCCTTCTTAGGGTCTATCTTCTGCTGGTTGTGGTAATAGTATATTAGAGTGGGTTGACTCGATACTCTTGAAGCTGTAAATAGAACTTTTGGTGGTTGTATATATTGTATAAAGTGCTCTTTCGATTTATCTAGTTTTATTGCTTTAAGTTTTGAGTCCTGGCGCGAGTTAGGCAGGTGGCCCGCCGATACTCTTGGGTTCGCCCTTGGGAGAAGTGGGGTCGTCACAAAATCAGTCCTTGAACTTTTCTTTAATTTGACTATGGCCCTATAAACTTTCAATGTTTTCAATTGGGTCCCTAATTTAATTATAGATAGGTCCCTAAACTTTATTTTTTTAAATTTTGACCCCAAAACTTTGTTAATGTTTGCAATCTAGTCTTTTATTCTTTTGACTTCTTGAATGTGGGTTGTTTATATGAGTTGATTGATTCAATTTCACAATTCATTTTTATCTTTTATGATTATTTGTTAATTAAAGTGGTGCCTTGACCTTTTCTTTTATTTTGGAGGGTAAATAAGTCATTTCACTCCATTAGAGCTTCAAATCAAGGGAGGTACACCCTTTCCCTCATGTCTTACTTTATTTGACCCTATGTGCCGTATGTGACTTTACGTGTTTAATTGCATGTTTATTTATTTATTTCCTTTATTTATTTATTTGCTTCACTGGCTTTAGCTTTGTATATCTATCGTTCGAAAGGCACTTGAATGCCAAATTTGTAATAGTTAGGTATTC